AGAGGAACATGACACCTTGGTTCCCGTGAGGGTCACTGATAGGTCTCACGATAATGGATTTCATTATCGCGAGAGACACTAGTCCATGTCGTTTATGTGGAGTCTCAGCCTTCGTCGTACAGAAATAGTGCCCATTTGTGACACTACAGCTGGTCACGCGGCTCGAAAGTTATGTTTCTAAACTTTCACCTACTGCGTTCTATGTCACCGGTGAGTCGGAAGACGAAATTTAGATTTGCAAAATATCGCTTGAGTCTAAGAGCGAAATGTCAAGTGATAATATTATCCCATGAAGTCAAGATATATCGACGCTGTTTCAGCTTGTTTCCGACAAGTGTCGATGTTACTTCGTGGGCTGTAAAAAGCATTCCGTGCTGTAAATATTGGAATGACGTAGCAGAATGTCATGTAATATAAGAAAATTACATTTAGCGATTCAAAATAAGTACACCTGAAGCCAGTGTATATCCTAATACGTAAGTCCAGCATTTTACGATAAAAAACAAATTCGTACTCCTATCTGTGACTAGGTATCACAATTGGTATCTTCTCTTGACTAAATTTTGCATGTTTTGAAATCATCATAAATAAATACAATGCAAAATTGGCGAGATTTAGGGTTCTCATGGCGGCGAGTATGAAGATGGTGTCTTCTGGGTTGTTGCGCCGCGCAGTCTGGTCATCATCAGGGCGATAATCGACCTGATGATGGAGGCAGCAAGACGCTCCGAAACATCTATTAGCCCAGAACAACCCAAAAGACACACAAAAGTATCCCACGGAGTCAGCAACGGACGCGCCGCGAAACACTTGTTACCAGTTTCAATACAAAACTTTTCCGTAAGACCTCAGTCCGGTGGCTGAACTGAGGAAGTGACGCCATATTATCACGTCATTTATTCGTAAGTTATGCAGTAATTTGACTGATGTATCTGAATACGTTCCCTCATTCTGAGGCACTCGGTTCTGGTGTCCTGGGTTTGAATCACGATTACAATATTAATGTTGCTGTAGGTCTGGGACGAGGAGCTGGCATCAGCGGCCCAGCGTTGGGCAGACAAATGCAGCCTCACGCACGACGGCGCACGGGATGTTTGTGAGTACCACCATCAGATCACTCTTGAGAGGAACATCTTCGCACTCTGTCTGTCAGGAGAGGCAATTGATGAGTCGTGAAAATCTCAGGGCAAATGAAGATTAACATTTCAGACAGATCTGTATTCGATAACGTCGGTTCGTATCTCGAAGGGGGTTATCGGTTATATTGGTTCGGATCTGTCGTGGTTTTCTTCTGTTCACTGTACACGAACACCGCGATAGTAGGCCTACATTAAAAGATAATTCCAATGATGGGGCCTCCGGTCTCATTACTGCGAAAAACTCCAGACACAGACAGACAAACGTAGATGGGTCCATAAAGGTGTTCTTCTCACATGCAATACCGTGAAGAATGCCTCCTTTCAAATCTTTCAACACTCGATATTTGCGATATTGCCCCATTATCATTTGAAATTATATAACCACAGTTAGAACAGCGTCGCTAAGTAACCATAGAAACATGTTCAAAAATATAAAAATATCATCAACTAACTTTCTTTCGACACGTGTAACGGAGATTAGTATTATTATATAATGTAATTTGCATCTGACTGGCATAATCCATTCAGCCGTGATTTCTGGCACTAAGAAGTCACAAACTTGTGCAAACATTATTCCTCTGACTCCCAAGGAGAGATCGTGCTGCCATCTATCGGTGGCAAATACGCACTACATGTTCTTACAGGAAAACAGCAGATAGGATTTTCGTTAAAGTAAGCATGGAGGTTGTGCCACTGGAAACTAGTCCAAAATTCGTGATTATGAATTTCGTAAAATTGGTAATACCAACGTGACGGATGTTTAAAGTCGTAAGGTGGGGTATGATCCTCTGTCAACACCTATGATCTTCCACGACGACTGATGACGTCATAAAATATTACCGAAGGCGGCCGAATGCTTAGGACTGCTGCTTTGTAGTTGGAAGGTCCCAGGTTCAAATATCGGCCCCGAGGTCGGCTGTTGTAATGCGTCTCGTGTTTTTCTCAGTCCCTCCAGACAAATACCAGAATAATTCTTTCAACTAAGACACATGTCCATTCGACGCCTTATCTAGTGAATAAATACATCTGAATGATGCTGTGTGCTCCACCATAATGTACCGTTTTCTCACTGCAGCCAGATTCCCTGTGGGGCAGAACATTGCTGTCACCTGGACGACGCGGACAAACGCCGGTGCCTCCCCGGATTTCCCACGCCAGGTCATGGGTTGGTTCAACGAGGTCAGACACTACGGCTTCAATTCCGCGGGGCTCGCAAAAGGCACAGGACACTATTCCCAGGTCGGTAATACCGAGGTCACACAGACCGACTTCAGTTACAACCAAGCCGATGCCCGTTTTTCCTCTTTTTTTTCTTTTCTAGAACATACTTTCATGAAAGTTCAGAGTAACTTGTCATCTGGTCTGTTCTACAGACAAAAATACCAAAGATTAATTTACTTGGACGACGTCTATTGTGACTGTGACGCCGTTAACTTTCAGTATTCTCACAATTCACGTGGCGCAAATATTAAAACAATTTCGGTTTTATCAGACACACACTCTCACCAGAATATCCAATAACTTGAGTAGCCCACCGGCGTTCTATCTGAGCTTCATACCTGCTACACACAGTGATCCTCACAAAAATTTCACAATTTCCCTTCAGTACGTCCGCTCACTCTTGCCCTGCCATCTATCTCCGGCTCTCACGAAGCATAATCGATGTTCGCTTTTCATTTCGTTGGCAGGAACATCTACCGGCAGAATTATGTAGTCCTACCACGATTATTGTTGGCAGAGACACCTACCGGCTGACGCTTTGTACTGCCATAATATTACGTAGCATTACAAACTTTTGTTACATCGACAGAAAAATTATAATGCAAATTTAAGACTCGAAAACAATGATTAATATGTCGGCAAATACGATCTTGAAATATTCGGGGATAATTTGAGAAAACTTAAGCACCTGTTAAAGACTTTTACGCGGCAGAGAGGCGTGGTTAAACGGATTCTGACTGATGACACAGACTACACGATGGAAAATAAAAAGAACAGATCTGAATTCATTAAATAAAAAGTTTCTTGGATGTTATCCATCGTCTAATAAAATAATAAAATTGAACGACGTTTCGGAGATGGGACTCTATCTCCGTCTTCAGGTATACCTACTCTGCTATCTCTGTTACCTTATCTCCGGACAAGGCAAAAAGTGAAAGTTCCTATCACAACAACATACATCCGTGGGAGATAGAGTCCACATCTCCGAAACGTCGTTCAATTCTATTATTTTATTAGACGATGGATAACATCCAAGGAACTTTTTATTTAAATAACTCACCATCGTCACAAACTTTTAGATTTGAGAATTCATTAAGTATTCACATTCACTATTATCCTATTATTTAACGATGCTGATTCAACTGTAGGATTTAAACAGCAGTCATGAAGAACAGTGTTAGACCCGGCCCGTCAATTAGGCCTAGATATCTAGACATTTATCTTTCGGACCGACCTGTTCGTTGTCACTGGATGCGTCTCAGCGACTCGTGGCCTATTATAACTGTCTTTCTCGTGTTAAGGTACTGAGGAATACCACACAAAACCTCTGAAATTTCTGTATGGCCAAGATTCAAACTGATAAACTACGAAATCCCGGTATTCTGTGAGAGCAAGGAAGATTTTGGCTGTGAAATATTTGAGTGGAGCGCCTCAGTAAAACACAAAGACGCTCCATCAGAATAATCACATCCATAGCCACGAATAATAAGCCTCTGATCAAACATACCAACCACTCGACTGGTCCTGATGTGATTGTGCGTGCGTGCTGCAATCTGATGTTGTGTTTCCCAGAGACGAGATGCTAATTGTTCATGACATGTTCCAGTTGGTGTGGGGTGACACGTACCTCGTGGGGTGTGGATACTCTCATTACTACGATCCTGCCCGTGGATACACGAAACTCTACGTCTGCAACTACGGCCCTGGGTAAGACATAATCTGTTAACGCACTAATGTTCCAGTCGCGTGAGATATTAATTCGAAGGCCCCAGAAATCCACGATCAATCAGATAGATTTTCTGCACTTTACATCGCTGGCCTTGTAATCCTGGGGTCTCGGGTTCGATTCCCGGCGGTGCCCGAATTTATAACTTGTGTTGGGCAAGGCCGTGGTCTAGGCAACACGGAGTTTACCTCCGTGGCATCCCAACAATTACTCCATTCACACACAGAAGAAGGCAATGGCAAACCACTTCTGGATCATCTGCCAAGAACGTATATGAACAGGTCCCAGTCCGAGAAAAGGATGGAAGGATCCTGTTCATATGGACCTGTCGTCAGACAGAACACTAAAAAAAATACAATAATGGAGAATGAGATTTGCCGATGGTACAGATGAAAAATGCAGACAAGATTTTATTACGGAAACCTCAAGGGAAGAAACTATTCAGAAAACTATACATTAATGAGAGGATAATATTAAAAAGGATAAAATGTTATAGGTAGTGAGGATTCACGTAGTTCAGGATAGGGTCGAGTTACTGTCAATATGACAACTGAACTTTGGAATTCCGTAAAACCAGCTGAGAGAATTTTAGTTTCTTAATGAAAACTACGCTTAATGGTGTTGGTACCTGTGACTTGTTTATCAGAAGGGTCGTCAGATTCGTCAGCGAGACTCATAAATGTCTTGTGAACTGACACATTTTCATCTCACGACCCATATTTTTTAAAAAGTCTCACGCATCTCATTTAAATTTCCGGCACATAAATCCAATTCACGACGAAGGAAAGAAAAATCCACATTTTCTCGTAGGCGCGGGCGGGACGAATCAATACGATTTCACGTTTTCTTTTCGAGTGCGACGGAATATGTAAATCAAACTTATTTCCAAGTCTCTGTTCGTACTTATTGCACCACTCCCCAGCAGGTGGGTTAAGGCAACTACAAGGCGTTGGATCGTTGCTAAGAGACGCTGTATTAACCTACTTTTTATTACAAGGTATTATTATGGTACCATGTCCGTGCGTGCCCTGAATAATGCAGGGACAAGAAGGTAATGAATGTTGGCACGACGTCACTAAACACTACTATTCGCCCTTATCGTGTTTACTTCTGTAAAGTCATTAGAACGACCACAGAAGCCGTGAGAATTCCTGATATCAGACGAAATGAGAGAATGGAAAAAATCAGAAGGGAGGGGGGGGGAAATACGCGAAAAACAAGGAACTAAGAAAGGGAGACAAAAAATACGAACAGAATAAATGAAATATTGTTTAATCGCATACGCCACTGAGGTCTGTATCATGGTCACGGGGCATAAGAAGTGTAATTAATTTTGGTTTTCAGACGTTTGTACATTGGACGTTTCGACAGAAAACAAATGATTTACGTTACTGATCACTTACAAAAATTTCTGTACTATCAGAAACATAAATAAAGTTCTGGGCAAATCACTCAATACCTGTTCCGATATTAAAATATTACCCTAAGATACTGAGGGACGCCATAGAAAACACAAGACGAAAACTCCACGGCAAACAGCATTCCTTAAAAGTTGGTTATGAAATTCCTCGCATTTATGGATCTTAAAGTTTCATTAGCACGATCACTAAACTTTAGGTCCAAAAACTGAGTCACGTGAACTCAGTCCACACCACACCCCCTATATATATATATATCTAAGATTCATTTTTAATAGTATCCTCTTGTCTATGCGTGTTTCCATCAAATTCTCTATTCCTTTCTCTGTTCCCAGCTAAAAACTACATACTCTCCTGTACACGTGAAGACAGAATTTTCTCCGAAAAAACTGGTATTTATCTACACATCCACATGGCATTATTAACCAGAAGACCAAATATTGACGTCTTTATCACAGTGTGGACCTCAAATCTCATACATTCTCTCTCACTTCCCCCACGCGTCAAATGTTGACTTGGTAACTATAATGACGTAAGATGAAAAATGCAACTAGTTTAAAACGTTACCACTACACTAACCTGCTCTATCCTAATCTTTACATGTTTTAATCTTTAGTTTTGTTCCTACTGTAATTCCAGGACACAGAGCATTAATTGTGAAGTTTGAATGCAGTTCTTAGCTCGTGATTTCTTTCTGAATGAACCCTCAATTTTATTATGACAGCGATCTCATTTATTTTGTTCAGAGGCAACGTTATTGGAGCACAACCTTATCTCGCTGGAAACCCTTCATGTTCGACGCGGGGCGTAGCACCGTCACGTCGATATCAAGGCCTATGTGGTAAGTACTGTCCACAGATGACGAGAAAATCCCTGCTGGGGGAATGTTTACTGCCTGGTGGACTAGAAGGCTGCTATTGGTGGGAAGTGTGATACGTCAGAGTTTTACGCTACTACACAGACTGAAAACATCAAGCAGTTAAGAGTAGCGTGTAGTGAGTGCACCTCTAATGTGTTCTGCGGGTGTTGGGATAATATTCTAGATTAAATCGCTGTGCCCCTGTGAGGTAATCTTAAAGCTGTACCCATTAGAACACATAAAAGCCTGTCGTCTGTTGTTCGTTGAGTGGTTGTGGAACGAATGCTTGTAGGATGGGTCGTCACTCAACGCGAAATCTTGCGCATGCGCGTATATCGAATTCCTAGCAGGGATTTTCTCCTGGTCTGTGAACTGTAGATATAAGTCAGTCTTATTTGCATTTCAACGTATTATACTACACTTCCTTTTGGTAATGTACAAAATTCTAAAACATCTGTCTTCATTCCCTACAGA